AGGCCCGAGCGTTGCGGCGGCCCCGGCGGGGCTGATAAAGAGCTGCGCACTTAAAGGGGCCGCGCCTGGAGCCGCGCGCGTAGAACGCCTCGTGCTGAGCTCTTAAAGGGCCAGCACACCTTTTGCTAAGCTTTTAAAGGGCCAGCACACCTTTTGCTAAGCTTTTAAAGGGCCAGCACACCTTTTGCTGAGCTCTTAAAGGGCCAGCACACCTTTTGCTGAGCTCTTAAAGGGCCAGCGCACCCCGCCCGTGCAGGGGTGAGGGCAGGGACAGCCCCTGCAGCTGCCCAGGGCAGAGCTGGGCGGGCAGGAGGAGTCGCTGAGGTGTCAGGGTGGGGCTGAGAGCTCGGCCTGGGGCAGGGCCAGCCTGGGATGCTGCTGGGATGGGCTTGGGATTCGTCACCCCCAGCTCCAGACCATTTGTCCTGCTGCTGTGGTTGTATAAAAGTGGGTTTTTTTTCCTGCTGCCACAGCCAGAAGGGAAAGATCCGAGTCCCAAACGCTGTCCCCAGCCAGGCCCTGGTGCAAGGGGCAGCTGCTGGGTGTGTGCATGGAGGACTCTCATGCTCTGAAACCTCCCTGCGTGCATAATGGTTGTGAGTGGTTTTGTTGGGGTTTTTTTTCTGATTGAAATTTCCCTATGGAAATCAATCAAAGATCTGATTCACTTGGGAGCAAATCCAAGTTGCTGCCTGGGATTGTCGAGGTGGTAAACAAACAATTCATTAAATTGTAAGGTGGCTGTGAGAAAGCATTTCCCAGCTCCTGCCCTGCCCCCGGTGCCAGTTTGTTTTTTAAATTAACGAGAGCACGGATCACACTGGCCTGGGGCTGCTGGCATCCCTGGGGCTGATGGACGGGGGTGCCAGCTCAGTGCAGCATCTGTTTTCTAAGAGTAAATTGGAATATTAAAAATTCATTCTTCCCCTTGGCTGGTGCCTGCTCCCAGCGTTTGAAGTGACGGCGTGATTGACTCGGGGAGGACGTTTTGTTCTGCTGGCTGTGGCTGCAGCATCCATCACCCTCTGCCCATGTCTGGCTGTGCTGCAGCATCTCCTGGTGCCCACCCACGGGCACAGCCCTGCTGCACAAACAGCCTCAGGCCCCTCTGTGCCCGCCCCGTCCTCCGGGGACAAACAGCAGCAGCACAGGGAGAACCTGCTGGAAGGTTGTCCCCTGCTTGGGGACAGTTGTCTGAGGCAGGTGAGGGCTGCTGGGGATGGCAGTGCTGTCCCTGTGCCAGCTCCCTGCCATGGTGAGGGTGGTGAAGTTCCACGTGGCAATTTTGGGAGAGCCCTCACCATCGTGGTGGGAGCAGGGACAGGGTTTGACAGGAGCAGGGACAGGGTTTGACAGGAGCAGGTTTTCCAGGGCTGTTGGCTCAGATTGGAGTGAAGGATTTTGGGGCTGCTGGGCAGGGTTGGTCCCCCCGTGGCTCTGATGTGACCCCTCCCCTCCAGGAGCTGCCATGGCCCACAGCCGCTCTCGGAAGCGATCGCGGAGCAGGAGCAAAAGCGATTCCCGGAGCAGGCGGGAGAGGAAGGAGAAGAAAAGGAGGAAGAGCAGCAAGGACTCGCAGCGGAGCAGCAGCTCTCCACCAAGGAAGAGGATCTCTGGCTCTCACGGACACAAATCGAGCTTGGCAGCAGCCAGGGAAGGTGGGGGAAGGCCCTGAGCCTGTGCTTTCACCACATTACCCTAGGGCAGGTGCACAGAGAGGGCTCGGGGGGGAGAAGGGGATCCCTGGGTTTAGCTGGTGTCTGTCACTTTGTCCTGCACTTGATGCCCACTTTGGTCTCGTTCTGACAAGTGCAGAACCCTCAGTCCCTCTGTGAGCTGGTCTGGCACCACAGAGCGCCCTGGGTTGGACTCTGTGCTCTGTGGGCACAGAGGGGAATTCCAGGCAGGAAAGAAACCAGGCTGGGAGGGGGGATAAACCAACATCTCTGCTGCTGCAGGGCCAGGGCTGCTCCACACACCCTCTTCTTGTGTATTGCAGAAAAGAAGAAGGAAGGAAAGGATAAAAAGAAGAGGAAGGCCAGTACCTCTTCCTCTGGGACATCTTCGTCCACCAGCTCTTCCTCATCTTCCTCCAGCTCCTCTTCCGATGACTCCAGTGACAGTGACTCCAAAATGAAGAAGAGTCAAGACAGCAAAAAAAAGCGAGTGAAACAGAAAGACAAAAAGAAGAGGAAGAAGAAGAAAAAAATAAAGAAGAAATCCAAAAAGAAGGCAAAGGAGAGAGCTAAGGAGGAGAAAGCCAAGGCAGAAGAGGCGCCTGGCCCCTCACTGGAGCAGTGGCAGAAGGAATCAGTGGTGGACTCTGGGCCAGGTAAGGATGCTCTTTCCCTCCTGCTGGAGCCCGTGCACACGGGAGCTGCGCTGTCCCCGGGTGACTGAGGGAAGCAGGGCTGTGGACAGGGAGGAGCCCCAGGCTCTCCTCCCTCCTATGTACAGTGCCCACCTTTGAGCCACTCTCAGAGATTGGTTTGTGAAGTGTTAGGGTGTAGCTTATAGATGTGACTGGGGAAGAAAGATGCCAAATGGAATGACACAGTCAGCAGTAACATCCTGGCGAAAGCTGGTCCTGGCTCTGGGATGTGGAGTGTCCCTTGCTTTGCTTGGTTTGTCACTGTACCCCAAATCCTGCTGGGAATTGGGTGTGGAATGTTGTCCGTGGGCTGAAGCCCTGGTGCTGTGCCCCTTTCCTGGAGCTCAGCTCTGACTGAGCACTGCATTCCAGCTCTGACAGATGAACAGAAATCCCGGATCCAGGCTATGAAGCCAATGACAAAGGAGGAGTGGGACGCGAGGCAGAGCGTCATAAGGAGAGTGGTGGATCCCGAAACAGGGAGAACCAGGTATGACCTGGGGAAAAGGGAGAGGGCTTGTCCATTCCCATCCATGCTGAGTGGGCTGGAGGCCTGGCCACGGCACTGCAGCACCACAGCTGGAGCCAGGCCCCCTTGAGCAGCAAAGGCTGGAGCCAACCCCTCACAGGCCTGGTGTGACTTGCCCAGAAAGTGACACAATGACACCATATCATTGAAATGTGCTGGAGCTCCACACAAAGGACACTGGGCTGTGTCCCAGTATCCCACTGCTGCATCCACTTACCTTCAGCTCCAAAGCCCTGGGCCCTGGTTAACACCCAGGTGGGAATGAGGAGCATGTGCCCTGTGGGGTTACAGACAGCGATCAAACCCAAGTTCATTTAGCTGCCAAATAGAAATGACCCAGTTTTTAATAAACTGCATCTTCTCAGCAAGCAGAAAATGTCATGCTGAAGAGAATTGGGTATGACAAGTCCAGTCTTAAAATAGAAGGCAGCCTGCAGGGCTCAGGGAGGTGTGGAACAAAGGTCGGTTCCCTGTAAGGCACGTAATGAAGACAATTAAATTTCTGTTCATGTTTGGAGGTGTGAGCCGCCTCCAACACTGCTTGGAATTTACTCAGCAAGATGCTCCCTGGCCTGGCTGCATTTCAGGCCCAAACTGGCTCCTGTTCCTGAATGGCTTTGCAGTTTCCTGGGGCAGTCAGGACCACACCTGAACTCGACTGAAAAAAAAACCAAGAAGTTTTGCATGGGTTGGGGCACTGTGGGTTGTAGGGTGACAGGGGATGCTTTTCTCAGGAATGTTTTCCTGTGCCAGGGTGACTGACTGCACACAGCAGGCAGTGCCCACAGCCTGGGGCAGGGCCAGCTGGCCCTCAGTTCTCAGGGGAGCACTCCTGTCCTTGCTGCAGTGTGGTGACATTAATCCCACAATGGCAATGCTGTGCTGTTGAAGCTTGATACAAAAACAAAGTCACAAAATACAGTGTCAGGGGTGGGTCAGCTCTGGCCTTGCCAGGAGGTGCATCAGCCCAGCACCTGCAGGTGCCCTCGGGGTGGGGGACAGCAGCTTTGCAGCTGCAGGAACTTGCCAGTACCCTCATGGCTTCTGGGGCTGTGCTTGACTTGCAGGCTCATTAAGGGGGATGGGGAAGTCCTGGAAGAAATCGTCAGCAAGGAGAGACACAAGGAGATTAACAAGGTAGTGGGACCTGCATGGGGTGGCTGGGCACAGCCAGGGAGCTGCTGCACCCAGAGGGGTTGTGTTTCCACCCTGGGGACAAGCTGAGCCCTGGCAGCTCCACCAGGGCCCCGGGGTGGTGCTGGAGGTGCTGCAGCCCTGGGCAGGGAGTGCTGTGAGTGCCGTTTCCCCTGCAGCAAGCCACTCGTGGGGATGGGCTGGCCTTCCAGGTGAGGACGGGGATGCTGCAGTGAGGGCAGGCACCAGCCAGCCCAGGGGCCCGTCCTGCTGCCCCTGCCAGCCTGGGGGAGCCTCTGCCTCTGGAGCACGCAGACAGCACCGTGTCAAGATGTTCCCCAGGGGCCCTTTCCAGCTGCTCTGTAAGTTACTGACTGGGAAGGAGAGCGACTTTAGGGCTTCACCTCCCAGTAACAGCTTCTCCCCTCCCTGTCCCAGCTCAGGCCAGTGTGGCTGTAATGTACCTGAGCCATTTGCCCCAGTGCTCCTCTGGATGCTGGAGGAGCTCAGCAGCACCCAGGGGACAGACACCCTCAGGGTGCTCTGGGCTTTGGGGGGCAGGAGCCAATGCTGTGGCCAGGACAGGGTGTGTACCAGGGCCACAAAGCACACAGCTGGCTTCCACTTCTTCCCTTCAGGGGCTGCCCATGGCCCTTTCCTTGCTGGATCTGGCTCACGGGCCCTTTGCACTCACTGACCCTGCTCAGAGTGGTGTGGCTGTGGCTCTGCTCAGACTGCAGCTCCCCTGAGAGCCTCCCTCCACTCCACTGCGCCCCTGGGGCTTCTCCCAGCCTTCCTGCAGCTTCACCTCCTCGGGCAGGGGAGCGCTGACCTGGCACACCGCACTGTGCAGGTGTGCTTTGTGGAGGGGTGGCTTTGCCTTGCTCCTGCATGCAGCTCATGTCCCTTCCCCACAGCACAGGCCCCAGGCAGCGCTGGGGCTCTGGGCTTCTCAGGGCCCAGGGCTGCTCTGAAGCAAACACAGCAGCCTTTTCCCTTGCTGGAAACTGTAAAAAACAGAAGGACAAATGGGTTAAAGGACAAATGGGTCCTGCAGGATCTCTGCAGAGGGTTTCCACGTTCTGTTCATGGCTGTAACCCCATTAAACTGGCACCTGCTCACATTTTATGACTTGTCCATTTCTAGAGTATTCCCCCACCCCCCCCAAAAAAGCAGACAGAGAAGAGCCTTCCCATTTCTTTAATCTGTGTAACTCACAATGATACTGTACACGAAGCACACCAGGCATTGGAACGATGCACTAACAGCAAGGAGGAGAAGGAAGTTGTACAGAAGGTTTGCCACACACAAGCGAGTCATCGGCACTGCACACGCGGGGCGTACCCGGCGCCCTCGGGCATCCCCCCGCTGGCTCCCCACACACAGCTGGTACCCCTAGAGCAATTTTTTATAAATAAAATATAACTAACATTGTTGGAATATAAAATTGACAGTCGAGGGTATCAACAGGCAGAGGGAGGGGACCGTAAGGCTTCTAGAACTAATAGGAAATGCAGCAAACAGTGGCGATACCTGAAGAAGGGGCTGCTACAGCAAGCACGGCGGCTGCTGG